GTTTCTATTCCAGAGGAGGCAAGAGCTGCAGTCATGCATTCTCTCTCCGTGCAGCAGGTGGTTTTCCAAGGCATTTTAAAGAGGCTTCCAATTTCTCAGGGAAGGAAGAGGGATCGACCTGGAGGTATCCTACCTTAGGTAGGTAGTCCCCTGACATTAAGTCCAGTCATGTCTGACTCTGGGATATGGTGCTCATCTCCATTTCTAAGCCGAAGAGCCAGCATTGTCCGTAGACACCTCCAAGGTCATGTGGCCGGCATGACTGCATGGAGCGCCGTTACCTTCCCGCCGGAGCGGTACCTATCCTATCTTGGGCTTCCTTTAAAAAGCCATATTTTCTCTCTTGATTTGGAGGTGCTGGAGTGGTACCTTCCTGCCCCCCTCATGCTTTACATTTTAGCGGCTGCCTTCCTCCCCACTCTCTACATGTAATGGAAAGCAACCAGTTTTTGACAGCCACTGTTCTGTTATGGCCAGTAAAAAAAATAATGACAGCAGCGCCCATGCTGTGTGACAGGTTTCTGAACTAACCAAACCAACCAAACAAGCTGAAGGCAAATGTCCATAATGAATCCATGCACAAGAGAACTAGTTGCAGCGAATGACACTGTTTTCAGTGCAAGGATAACAATGTAGGAGCTTCAGTGACACAATACTGCTAATGACTCTTCTTGAAATAAGTCATTTAACCACCCATATAATATACTAATATAATCTATAACCTACATAAATATTCAACAGTTAAAAAACATTCATAGTATCACTTGCCTCGGTGCTTTTTAACTCAGAAGCACCAATAATTGCTAAAGAAAGCCACAAATGCCAGGCTGTCTACTGTAACATTTTGTTTCTTGAAAATGCAAACCACATGGAGAAAGAATAACTCCACTTCTTTGGCAGGGCACTCCATTGTTTGGGCATCATTCACACTTACAGCATATAGACAAATAACAACAACAATAAAATAATTCTATCCTGAAGAGTCTTCTGGAACATGTGTAATGTGTCTTGGAAACATTTATGGATACTTACGAAGAGTAACTATTTCAAAAATAATATTTTTTTTAAAAAAAGTCTATTCTATCATTCCTATACACAAGAAGCCCAATGACACTATTGTTCAAGAACCTGCTCCGAGTTTATTTTTTCTTCCCTGCAAGAATAATTGATTCCTGTCAAACTTAACAAGAATAAGAATATATAGCAGAAAATAAGGTGTAAAAATTCAGTATTACAACTATTATGCAATGCTGACTATGATCATGACAAATAGTTGTGAAGTAAACCATTTTAGTTCCTTCAATGGAAAAACAAGTATTTTATTATATGTATCATTTATTGTTTAGCCTTAAGAGTTATTTAAGATTACTCTAGATCTTGTACACTGTTGCTGAGGACTTCCTAGAAATGGATGATAATAACACTCCTCTGTATTAAAATAATTATACTACATAATATGGGGATAGTAAAAGTTCAGTATGTAATACTTAGATCACCAAGGAGATCATTTCTTGTTTACATTTTTTACATCATTAAAATTATTGCTTCAAAGAACTAGATTTTAAAAGACAGCTTTAGTAACCACTACACCTTATATTTAATAATCAAAACATTATTTACTTCATTCCCATCAAACACTTTAAACCACATGTGGTTTTATATTGACAAAAGAAGTAATGTGTGGGTGAGAAATAAGTAAAAAATTCTTCTGCCTGAAATTCTAAGTTATTTCTCTCAGCTCTCTACTTATGGTTTTCTGTATTCTCCCTTTTCAATTATTAATCCTCAAGATGAAAATAAAAAAGTTGTTATTGTTTTAATTTTTCATTCTTCAAGTTTTAAATTAGTTGTTTATAGCTTCAGTCACTTCTGACTCTTGGTGACCTAATGGACCAGTCCATACTAGAGTTCCCTGTCCGCCATCACCAAGGTCAATCCAGTCACTTCAAGGAAAAGATCCATCCATCTTGCCCTTGATCAGTCCCTCTTCCTTTTTCCTTCCATTTTCCCCAGCATAATTGTCTTCTCCAAGCTTTCCTGTCTTCTCATTATGCGTCCAAAGTACTTCATCCTGCCTCTAATATCCTTCCCTCCAGTGAGCAGTCAAGCATTATTTCCTGGAGTATGGACTGGTTTGTTCTTCTTGTGGTCCAAGGCACTCTCAGAATTTTCCTCCAGTACCACAGTTCAAAAGCATCTGTGTTCCTTTGCTCAGCATTCCCTATGGTCCAGCTCTCACATCCATACGTTACTACAGGGCATACCATTGCTTTAACTATGTAGACCTTCATTGCGAGTGTGATGTCTTTGCTCTTCACTATTTTATCAAGATTGGTCATTGCTCTCCTCCCAAGAAGCAAACATCTTCTGATTTCCTGGTTGCAGTCTGCATCTGCAGTAATCTTCATGCCTAGAAATACAAAGTCTGTCACTGCCTCCATGTTTTTTCCCTCTATTTGCCAGTTATCAATCAGTCTTGTTGCCATAATCTTGGGGTTTTTTATGTCTAACTGCAACCTAGCTTTTGCACTTTCTTCTTTTATTCTGGTTATAAAGCTCCTCAGCTCCTCCTCACTTTCAGCCATCAAAGTGCCATCATCTGCATATCTAAGGTTGTTAATGTTTCTTCCAGCAATTTTAACTCCAACCTTGGTTATATCAAGCCCTGCACGTTGTATGATGTGTTCTGCATACAAGCTGAATAGGTCGGGTGAGAGTATACAGCCCTGCTGTACTCCTTTCCCAATCTTTACCCAGTCTGTTGTTCCAGTTTAAATATTTTCTAAATTTCTTACAAGTATTTCAAAAAGGGACTTATGCATACTTCTACTAGACTGCCATGAAGTAAAGTTGTGATGGTTTGTAGATTTGATTTATCTTTGGGTAATGAAATCAGAAATAGGTTTATAGAGACATCCCATCAAATTCCTCTTGCTTGCTGTACTTTTTAGTTGGGCACATACAACCACAGGAGTGCAAATCCAACTTTATTCTTTCCATGCCTTTGTGTATGTGACACTGGAAACACATTTGATAGGGATGGATATCAGCGACTAGGTAGTAATTTATTTCAGTCAACAGTACACAACATTTAGCCTTGAAATGTTTGTTGTCCTACAAGTCCCATCAATCTGGCTGACCTAGCTAACAAAGAACTAAGATGATTTACATTCAAAAACATCTGGAAAGCCATAGTTGCCCACCACTGATATATTCTATTATCTTAGCATTCAGTATTTCAGTCTACAAATGGACACGCGAAACAGTTCTACAAAGCAGCAGTGAAATCATATCTGATGAAATCATATTTCATTTAAGAGCATCTGATGTATAATATCTATCTTCCATATACCAATGGTTGCCTGATGTTTCAGACTTTATGTGCAATGATACAGGGCTACCTATGTACAGGCTTTCCTAGTTTCTTTCTCATTACACAGTGACTGTGACAAGTGACAGTAGATCTTACTGAAAGCTTGGTATAGGAGAAGTAGAGATTGACCCAGTGATGCCATAGTGGTAACCGGCCACACTATAACCCTCAGGAGACTGTGAACAACCCTGAGAACATTGGCAGTATGAATAATAAAAAGTTGACAAAGAAATAAATGAATGAATAAGGTTAATGGTGTTGCTAAGGTGTCGAGAGCACTTTAGCATTGGAACAGCCAGTAGGGAACATTTTGCCAATCATTCCTCCTATCATCTTTTCTATAGGGAAGGTTTTCACCTACAACCTCATCATACGTGGCAAATTTTGGCAGCAACTACAGTTGTGCTACACCATTGCTATGGAGCTTGTTGGCTCCCACTACTGTGGGAAAAGTACTTCCAAGGCAGCTATGGGGCAAAACTGGCAAAACTGGAGTCACCATGGGAGGCTTCCCATTCTGTATTGCCCTCCGTGGGGCAAGCCAGCTGCAGGGGCTTCCTCCCATGTGATGAGGGAGGAAGCCAGAATGGTACAAAGTGTGGAACAATAGGTGCCCATACTCCTGGGCGAGAACTACCAGGATTGCTGTGATGTGCGGTTATCAACAGTGATTCCGGCGGTGCATGTGACAAGGTAGTAAATTGCTCATGCATTCAACTACCCACTTTGCTCTAATGTACCTCAAAAGACAGATAGACATCATTCCAAAACTATCCTATCAACCTCTATGGACTTCAAAACATGTATATCCATTTAAAAACTGGAAATTGAAAATATATTGTTTTAACTTTTTTCATCCAAATTTCTGCAATTCTTTTTCTTAATTCTGTTTTAATAAACTTTTCATAGGCCCTGGGTACTTTTCATAGGCCCTTAACGTGCCTAATAAATAAGTCAGTCCTAAATTGGAAGCTTCCTTGCCAGGTAGGGTGTGCAAAGAGGAGTATCTCTAGACTAAGAAGACTCAATTTTTTTACAACTCTCAAGGCTTGTTACAATAAAATGTGTCCTTTGCCTCCAGCATTTGTTTAGTTGCAAAGCTTACCCTAAAAATTGAGAATGTTCCTGTGAAATAAATGATACACAAAACAATGCACATATTTTTAAAATATGAAAGGGAAATATGGGCATAAATGAAAGAAGGGAGGGGAGATTTATGTAAGTTTTGTGGATACCTAATAAATTAGAAAATAATAAATTTAAAAAAAATGATTCAACAAGCACAAGAAGAGAATGCAATGAGGATTTAGAGAAACTCAATGGAATAAAAAACAGATGATTACATCTGGATTTCCAAAGAATCCAGATCACTACTTCTGCACATTTTCCTGGCCTGCTTTAAGCAGAAAACCACAACTATAAAGTGTCTTGCAAAACTAGCCAATGCATCAGGAGACCCAATTTAACACAGTTCCAATTTTGAAACATTAAACATTAACCTGTTTCACACAAAAAAAGATAATTTATCCAACTGCGGGAAGACAAAAGAAACCCACACTTAAATATTTAATGTGTAAAACACCAGTGTATCAATTATTGAAAGACAACAAATAGAAAAATAACTCACTGTTTTCTGTTAGGTGTTAACAATTGTGTTTCCTTTTTTTGTATAGGAGTATCCGTTGGAGGAAAGATGATGCTGTTAGCTCTTTGTTTATCACTTTATGTGCACTAAAAGACTGCCACACACCTTGCAGCCTTCCTCTTCACTGTACCTTCCCATCACTTGACTTCAGCAAACATATTCAGAGCAAACCAACAGAGGACAGTATCTGTGAAAAGAAGAGTCAACATATGTCATAAAGAAGCAACAGGGGATAAAACTTCAGTGCTTAAATGAAAGATGAGATTTGTATACTAATGCAAAACGACAAAGAGTATATCCAAATATATTCTGGTCTGTGTTTCAGATCAGGAATGTACTGTAATCTTCCTGTAATCTTTCAATAAAAAGAAAAAGAAAAAAATCTCAAGAAAAAACTTGAAATAATACAACACTAACCAAGGACAAATTGCAACTAATAGTTCAATGACACTGAGTTTAATGATCTAAGTACTAGTCTGGTCCTTCCACCTTGACTTCATATGGTTGGGAAATCTGGAGCCTGCAAATGGGCGATTCAGAAGGGTGTTGTACACAGTTCGAATATCCTCTCCCAATGTGTGATGGTTCTGATCTATGTCAGCAGGCATGTAGCCGGGGGGGGGGGGGGGGGGTTGAGGGGCTTCAGCCCCCCCCCCGAAATTCTCATGGTGGTTCGCGAAAAGGCCTTACTGGTGCATTATTTAAACTGTTATGTTTATTCATATCATGATCTGATCACCATACTCAATATATCCCATATGCATGGGGGTATTGGGGTAACGATACAAAAGGTTTGCTAGGGTAGACCCTCTTTCACTCAGACTCAGCCCCCCCCACGAAACAAGAGCCCCTCCTCAGGAATCGAAATCCTGGCTACGGGCCTCTTAATAAGGAAAAAAATGAAAGCCAAATGACTGAACAGCAGACTATGCATTTAAATACAGACCCTTAGTGATAAATTTGTATCCATGCACTGTTGTCCAATTTGGTGGTGATTAATCTGTTGAAGGTGTTCATTATATGATACTTCCCTAATCATACACTGTCATTTATGGTACATAGTGCAAGTCAACCAGGACTCCTATTAAGTAGGAATATAATACAAGTACAGAAATAATTCTGGTATATCTTAGATATTTTTAATAATGTCTATAGAGTGGTCCCATAATAAAGTAGTATTATTTAAGTGATAACATATGTATTGCATGTAGCTAGGTGCTAATAGTTATTATTAATTCATGTGTACAATAGGGCCTCCCAATTACAGATCAATTAAATCAATTGCTGAATGGTAGGTCAACAGCGATGAATCCAGTTTTTTTCAAAAGGTCTAATTTCATTTGGTGTAGCAATTGATCAGGCCTACAAATCTATAGAAGTACAAAACGGTAGCTAAGTGGTTCAACACACTGGGGAAAACACTGAATTGTGTATTGTAAGAACTTTAATTGAAATAGAATATATTGCGTTGACATGCCCTTCCAACCACCAGGCTCCTTAAATATATAAAATCAATATAAACATGCATGTAAATCCACTGCCATAAAATGTTTTAAGAGAAGGTAGCTAGTAGTTCCTAACCACTCCAACTTGACCATACATTCTCTGGAAGAACTTTACTTTAAGAATTCTGGCACTATTCCATAAACAAGAAGGCATAAAATGAACAAGATTTTTTTTATAGTGGCATCATAATGCAGAAAAAGCTACATAGATAAGAAAAAAAGATTCCATTAAACAAATGAGAAAGAACAATAATGATGTTTTCTAATATGGATGAGGTTCCTTTCTAAGCGATCATCCCTTCAAAAAAGTGGGAACGCGCAATTAGACATAATGAAAGATTTGTCAATATCACTATAAATCACAAATTATGGGGCCAAAGAAGTAAAAGATGATTCCATAAATATGGTATCTCTTTATACTTAATACAGATCAAGTTATATTGGCTCAATTTATATTACATTTTGGCACAATATTTTCTCAACTTTGAAAAATATTTAACAAGTACCATAATGAAGTAATTGATTTACATAAACCAATAATTATATAATTTACTATTACTGTGATAAAATTAACAGAAAATAAAGAAAGGAAATTGTGGGGCCAAATAATGTCCTGAAAACTGAGAGGTTGCTACAGAAATGTCTGACTTCCTCCTAAAAATGCAGACATTTGATAAAAGATGAACTATTTATTTTATTTTTGGAAGAAGAGGGGGATATTACAGAAATGAATCTACAGGGCATTCAATGACTTTTTCCACATACTTTTTGGTTTTCATAATAAAATATTAGACTCATTGAGGTAATCAATTACATCTAGAAAGACATCATGTTTTTCAACCAAAACTTTGAAATGTGTGTCCAGCTATACTATGGCTGGTTCCCTGTTCAACACTTATGATATCCTAACCTGGATTTATGAAATCCTAACTGCTGGGAATTCATGTTTGTGGTCACGAATAACTGAATGTGACTGCAAAAATCTACATTCAGTGTTTGCTAACTGAAACATTTCAGAGATGCTAGAGACTGAAGTGCTGGACGATAATATCTATAGCATGCTGCAATTCAAGGGATATACTGGGTCAAGGAGGGGTGTCTCAATCTACACGTGATTAATTAACTAATTAATTAAAAAACATTTATATTCTGCTCTTCTCACCCCGAAGGGGACTCAGGACAGAGCACAGCATATACACAGCAAACATTCAATGCCAGGACACAGATTCACATACAATATATAAACATTAAAAAACAATTATCAGAATATTAAAATACACAATTTAAAACCGTCCTAGCCATCCGCATCCAATCCAATTGGGCCTGTCATCTTTCCCACTGCCGCTTCACTGACCTGTCCCGAAAGCTTGGTCCCACAGCCAAGTTTTTACCATCCTTCTAAAGGACAGGAGGGAGGGAGCCAACCTGATCTCACCAGGAAGGGAGTTCCACAGCTGGGGAGCAATCACCAAGAAGGCCCTGTCTCTCATCCCCACCAATCATGCCGGTGACAATGGTGGGATGGAAAGCAGGGCCTCCCCGGAGGATCTTAATCTCTATGACACAGTATAAATGTCCCATGACTCCCACCTCCAGAACCTCAGAAATCTTCAGCCAGCCTTCACTGCCAGGCTGTGAAGGAATCATCAATCACAGTTACAATAGCATTGCTTTATTGTTGTAGTTATGATGATAATGCAGGATCTCAGGCCTTTATGCATGTAAATCTTATTGTGACTTTGAAATCTAACTGTTGTTTTTATTTACAATTTTACTGAATTACAAGTCACAATATTAGAATGTGTTATCAATTTATATGTTTGAAATTGAATATTTATATCTCTGTTTAAAAACAAGTAGAAGACGCCAATTAAACTTTCAGAGTATATGGTGGACTTGATTCAAAGTTCAGGACATGGTGTTTGGGGCTGTACATTAAGAAGAAAACAGCAGGTTGTCAATAATGCTACAAGGTTGGACATTTTCACCATGGAAAGTATCAGTGATTGGCCCACTGAGGCTTTCCTCTCTTCGTGGAATGACCCTCAACTTACCCATGGATCATATCGAAATTCATAACCTAACTTAAGTTCTCAACTTATACATGAGGCTGAATTATATGGGTATATATATGGGTATATGTGGCAATCATTCTGTGTACAGCAGGGGTCCTCAAACTAAGGCCAAATCCAGCCCACCAAGGTCATTTACCCGGCTCTCACTCAGTCTGAAAGAAAAGCACACAACAACAACAACAACAACAACAACAACAACAACAACAACAACAACAACAACCCTATCTAATCAGCCAAAAGCAGGCCCACACTTCCCATTGAAATACTAATAAGAATATATTTGTTAAATTGTTCTTCATTTTAAATATTGTATTGTTTTAAAGAGATTTTTTACACTACAAATAAGATATGTGCAATGTTCTTAGGAATTCATTTTTTTTTCAAAATATAATCCGGCCCTCCAACAGTTTGAGGGATTGTGACCTGGCCCTCTGTTTAAAATGTTTGAGGACCCCTGGTGCACAGCATCCACTAAACTAGACAATTGACAGGAGCATTGCCAAATGCTTCTCTTGCCCACACCAGAATGGTCATGGAACACTTTAGATGCCTAATTGTGAATGTTTGGACTGAGAGCACAGATGCTACCTATTTCCATGTGTAATATTATATTATATTATGTTGTACAAAATTTTAGCCTCAGAGTGATGGATTTCATAATAAAAAACACAATCTTAAACAAAATTACACAGAAATTAATAGACATAAACATAGGTTTTGAATACATTTGCCCATTATTTCATTTAACTAACCCAGTCAATTTCATCTGCTGTATATACTGAAGCTTCGGGGGGAAAAATCACATGAAAAAGCGATTTAGAGAAAAAAAATCTTTATCTCAGGTATTATCTGGACTCCATTCAAATATTAACAGTATTTAAAATGCACTAGTACCTTAGAACTTCATCAAAAGAGACAAAAACTTGCTAGAAGGAGCACCAAGAATTATTACTACTGAATAAAAGAGGTACAACTCCAATAATAGTCTGCAATTGATCGCAAGGACATATAAACCGAACACCCAAATGCTTCTAAGTGAATTCAATTACCCGAGAAGTGAAAAAGTCAAGGAATGGAAGATTCTGCTATGGAACCATTTGCACTCAAAGAATAAACTACAGATAGCATTCTATTCTGGCAGAGCACAGACAAGATGATAAATCTTTTGACAAAAATTGTTAGGACAAATAAAGAAGAAATTCCTGACAGTTGCTTTATACGCTATAACTACTTTATTGCACTAGCCGTCATCGACAGAATACAATATTACACTTCACATACCATTTTTGTCATCTAAAGAAAGAAAATTCCACATCATTCTAAATGGCAGTGGTACTATAAGTAATTATGATAGAATATATACTACTTAAAGCAGTGTAAACCTGAAATAAACCTGAATAGTGGATATTTTATGTATGAAACATGGCAACAAAAAAACCTCAACAACCCAGGAACTATGAAAGGGGAAGCTATTTTTCTAAACTCTGAGTACATTTAAAGAAAGAATTGAATGGTTTTTAATACCTGTGTTTGATAATATACTATTTTGCCTTTTTGCTCAAAGTTGTCTGTATAACTATGTAGCAATATTTGTATATGTCAATGCC